TTATCAGATAACTTTCAAACTTTGCAGCCTATTCTGTTTAAATAGTTTTTGGATGTATTCCATCAATTTAGATTAATCTTCACTCTAACCATTATAAACAGGAAACCAACACATTTCTACAGAAGGTAAGAGATTGGCACTAGGTAAAATAACCAGTGCTAACAGAAGGAGCCATATGGCCTCCTTCTCTACTGTACAATGCTGTGATTACCTCCATTTCCAGTTCTTACCAATTTCCCTGTGTGATTTTTTTTAAACCATTCTCTCCAGATTACCCATGAACTGCATCTCCAAAAATTTAAAGCTTATGCAAATTCAAACTAACCTGTTGAGAATTCCAGCTTCTTCTATGGTGATTTTTCTCTCTTCTACTTTAAGGCATTGATCCAATTTGTTTAGCTTTTCTCCACAACCAGCCAAAGCAGTTCTTACAGCCGGGGCTAATAGTAGAACCTTCTTCATGTGGGAATCCATGAACTCCTCAAAATCTTGACTCACATCAGAGTCTGTAGGAACTTTCTTCTCTTCTTTACTTGTAACCGTACTTGATTCAGAATCACTTCCTTCAAAACCAAAGTTCTGTTTCTTAAGTTGTGTCTCATTAATAAGTACATCTGAAAAATTGTGAAAAGTAAAACATTGGTTAACAGCGCACGTAATTTGAATGTATTTAGCCCACTTTCGTATTGTTTAACAATGAAGGAAATGAGATATTATTTCTTGAACAAAACAGCAGTTATGTTTGCAACACAAGACAACATTTCCTACCATCAATGTGGGGGATGATCTTGCCTGCCCTTACGTATTAGAACTCGATTCAACCAACCTTGTAAATACAGTTTAATTATAAAACTAAGTTACTGCTTTCGGCTCCAAGTACCCACAACAACAAAACCAAACCACTCCATAAGCAAAGAAGAGAAGTCAGGATTTTAGTGACGTGTAACAAACATAGTGAATGCTGGAGAAACTCAGGTTCAGGAGCATCTGTGGAGAGAGGAACAGAGTTAGTGTTTCAAACCTGGGCTCCATTAAGCCCAGTGTTTGTTTCAAATCTTCATTGCTTTCATTTCAGTTTCCTGGAATGTTGTCTTATGAGGAAAGGTTGGTCAGGCTGTGTTTGTATTTGCTGAGGTTTAGAAAAGAAAGAAGTAACTTGGTTGAAACATATAAAGCTCCTGAAGGGGTAAGTATGGAGATGATGTTATCTCTTGTGGAAGAATCAAGAACTAGGAGTCTCTGCTTAAAAATTAGTGTCTCCCATTTAAAACAGAGACACATGAGGCTAAAATTGTTTCTTACAAAGGGTATTGAGTCTTTGGAGCTCTCTTCCTGAGAAGAGAGAGAGTGTAATATTTTCCACTCTTGAATATTTTAAAGGCAAAAGTGGATAGATTCTTGGTAAACAAGGGGTGAAAAGTTATTGGGGATATACAGGAGAGTGGATGTGTGGTTGCAATCAGATCAGCTGTGATCTTATTAAATAGTGTAGCATGCTTGAGGGGTCAAATGGCCAATCCCTGCTCCTTGTTCATAATACGGTGAGCAATAGCGACTGCATACCATTAATAATACATACAGGAAATACTGCAGAAAGCTCATTTCAAAACTAAATGCATAAAGTGCAACCCAGCTGATGAAAACAAGTCATAAATTAAATCAATTGTACATTTGTACACATTGTACATAGACAGCTCCGGACAATGACATGCTATAAAACTGAAAAATGGATGATTTGGTAAAATGAATGACTCAGTGAGTCTTCAACACTCAATCGAATGGGTTGATTCTGATGTATTCAGCATTATTGTTGCTAAGAAATGTTTATGAAGGTAACTAGAATGGCTAATCACATTTTCCAACTTTTATTTTCCTATTGTTCTTTTCTCCAATTAGCAAGTTCCTTTTAGAACCAAATCATATAGATTTGAATCTAATACAAATGATTGGAATCTTCATAGCAGTTTACAAGGACCGTAAATTGAATACCATGTGGAAACAACCCAGTTCTGAAAAAGTGGCAGATGGCATAAAATTGCCAAAAATGTAGAACACAATAGATTACTCTACTCTAAAGGTGGATTTTTGCCCTTTTTTTGTTCTAAACAAGTGGAAAATGTAGCTTACAGATTTTAAAGATTCCTAAAACTAGAAAAAAAAACTGTAGTGCAATAAATAGTGCTATTCTGTGTTAGAATTACTGCATATTTTTTGCAGCACAGTGAGCAGTTTTATTCTGCATGTGGCTATTACACTTGCTACACAGAGTGACTGAAGAGATATGTGGGTATTCAATGTTTCTTTCTGGGATACTGAAGCCCTTCAGTGGTATGAATGTAAAATTCCTTATCCCACTTCAACAAACCTAAAGAAGCCCATTTATAAATTATACCACAAAGGATTTTACAGAAGATTACGAAGTATTTTACCTTGATATTTTAAAAACTTCCAGTATGGCTGGTGCACAGCTTTCACATTTTGAATAGACTCTATGGCACTGTTGGGACATAATATTTTTTAAAATTTACTCTGCTGTTTAAGGTACAAAACGTAAATAGTCTGTGTCTGCAGGTTGCTATCAAATAAGTATGCAATATTGTCACTAGGCTCCTAGCCTTGAAATTTATGTAAACATGGCTATATTGGCAGCCATTTCTCAGATTCCACTAACATTTGCATGGTCCTGATCTGGTGATCAGTCTTGCCTTGAAAAACTCTTCATGTGTGGCAATTAAAAACATTCAATTTTATTAATACCAAACTTTGGAACAATTTTGTTAAGGCAATGCATAAAATGCACTCCACGTTTTACTAAAATTGGGAGAAAAACTTTAGGGTGAAGAATTAAATATAAACTAAGAACAAAACCTTGTATTAAGTATGTAAATATCTGCAATTCAAATAAAATAACACTAGAAACTTTAAACACAAACTTTACAGTTATTAATGACCATATATGGTTTATCCTTAAATAAAACAAAGAACTGTGGATGCTGGAGACCTGAAATGAACAAAATGCTTGAAAAACTCAGCAGGTCTGGCAGCATCTGAGGAAAATAAACAGAGTAACATTTCAAGTCCAGTGACCCTTGAAGGGGCTTCTCCAGTAATTTCTGTTTGTGTTGATTATCTTTCTATGATATCTCCACAATGTTGAAGTCAGACATGAACCAAGTAATGTGATAAAATAAAAGAAACAAAACAACACTAACTGATTAAATACCTTATGCATGGCACAATTTCCCCAACCAGGGGAGGCACAGGGTCTCCCAGTAATGCTCGGACGGTCATACAGATAGATTCTGAAAGGGAACGTAAATTGTATCCTCCCTAAAAGAAAAATCCTTATGGTTACAAGGTCTCAAGGAGAATAGAAATAGACAAGACACACATTACACGAAAAGGAAATTCTCTCAAAGTCCACTAACATGTGCATCAAGCCACTTCACTATTCATCAAGTAAACTATTTAATTCAATAAACCTGGAAGGAAAAGATGATTTTGAAATTCAAGTCGCAACTGTTTTATTTCTTTATATATATTCCCTATAGTTATAAATTCTCCACTACAAACTAATTCAGGTATAGTATCTAGCTTATGAATAAAGCATTTTTAGGATAAACAAAGATTGTGCACAAAGGGTTAAGAGATAGTAAGATTTCAAAACAAAATGCATGTGGATAACATTGTAAGATACAAATTACAATAGGTGACATTATAGTATAAACACAACATAATATTTTTATCATTCCCCAATTTAGAGAATAGAAAAATATGTAAAAACGCACTCAACCTGTCAAATCCAATCACTGTGGTTTGCAATGTCTTGTGCTTTCAACATTCATGCTCCAAAGCCAATGAAAGATACTTTCACCTACAACATTTATCAGTTGAACACAAAGATTCAAAGTCAATATTTCAGGGTCCTTCTGTTTCTAACAAACAGAAACTTCCACTTTTCTCCTGCCAATGGTTTGATTTGTCCACATCAATCACAATCCAGGGTCAAGAAGCTGCCATCATGCAGCAACCAAACAAGTCCTGACAACAGGTGCCAAAGGGACAGACCAGTAAAAGAAAGGAAACTGTGTGTATTGTGCCTGTTGGGGCTACCATTACTTGACAGACACAAAATGGTCGACTAACTGATGTAACAAACTGATTAAAACAGAATTGAAAGCCTGCTTCATCATTTAAGTGAAACAATAGTGCCTTTGAGAAGGGCTTATTTCAAGCTATAAGGTAGCATTGTCTGAACAAGTTACAAGGAGTGCAGAGACAGTCTTGATAAGGAAATATTCAAGGGTAAACAGTTCGAAGATTTGCAACAAACACAAATGAAATAATGGAATTGTGCCTTTTTAAAGAAACTTTGAAGGATCTTTAAACTACAACAAGTAAGTAATTCCAGTCTCATTAATGAAAGGATGTCGTCCCATTCGGCTAACAGCATTAATAAAGCGTCATGCAGCCATGAAAAAAGCAGCTGAAGTTCTCTAGCAGAAATTAGTTGTTTCTATGAAACTATTTACAATATTAAGAAATAGGTTCTAGTTAAAGATTCTTCAAATAATCACAGACATAGATTTCAACATAATTATAGACACACAGATATAATCAAAGCATAATAAAAGCATTAGGGGAAAACATTAAAGAGATGCCTGGCATATTTTGTCTCATTAGCTAAACAGTGCTAACAGGAGAAGTAATTATAAAACATTATAATAGAAATGAATATTACGAATCTTATAGCAGAACCAACTATCTTTTTTATATAAGAGGAATGACAGAATTTGATAAAGATAGCAAGTGGAATACAATGAACAATAGAATTCAAGCAGTCCTCAGAGATAAGCAAGTCAGGGACGTGTCCAAAGGAGTACAGCCAGTAATTCTGGAATGTGAATTAATAGGTTACACAGAAAGACCCCAGGGCCTACAGGTTACAATGTCTGTTAGACTTCATGAAAACCAAGGGAACCCCGGCTGTCCATAGGAGTATCCATCATTGATCAGGTGTTTCACAGGATTGGTTGTATAGAGAAAGGGGAGGGGCACAGTAACCACATTGTATGTGATCATTGTAAAACAAAATGTATAAAAATACTGTACTTCACTGTAAAAGCCACAGCACGATCTTCCGATCTGAGCTGTAGATTAAGAGAGTGATTGGGTTCTCAAGTCACAGCCAGTTTCAGGGAAGATCTTTGGCCCTCTCCCTACATTAACTGGTTGTTGCCTGAATAAAGACTGCCACATGCCTGAATCCTGCCTGCCTCCCAAGTCTTTGTTCCCATTCGGGGGCTACACTCCTACAGTGCCACAAGCTCAAAAGTACATCCTACCATTCAACTGCACAGTCTCCATTAATTGTAGGATACCTTTACAACACAGGGACACCTTCAATAAAATGCTATTGTACTGGCTTTCCAGCCCCACTATTTATATATCCACTGAAAACAATTCTCCATTGGGCACTAGCCTACAGCAATCAGCAAGACCCAGCAAAAGTATAACTGGGTATCTGTTTCAGTAATTCAAGCAGTTTAAGTATTTCATAGAACAATGCTGTGTTTTCCATCATCTAATTATGAAACTTAACAATCTCCAGTTTTCTTTAACATCCACCCAGATTGGACTTCAGCTAATATCTCCGATGAGAAACAAAATCTAAGCCCTCGAATGAACTAGATGAAAAACAAAACATAAATGTGGGGATTTGAATTCAGTGTCCCACTGGCATAGGTTATGTCAAATGACTAAATCTTAATAGATGATAATTCCCCACAGAATTGAAAGCGAAGCAAAGAAGTGGGATAAAACTTGATGTACCTCTATGTTTTTCTGAATTCCATCTGTAATACCAGAGGAAAACTACACAGTTAGACCAGTTTAATACTGGTCATTAAAAAAGGTCAGGTCATCCAACATGATATAAAAAAAAAACTCTCCACTACATTCCAATCTGCTGTGAAACTTGAATAAATTGCATCTTCACAATATTTTACATCATCTGGATATTGACTAGCAAACCCGTGCTTGATTTTAATGTACATATAATAGATCCAAAGTTACCCATATAAATTTTCATAGATAAATGCTCTACCCTAAGTAGTTTGATAAAATGTTCTGTAATAGCATGCACAGTCTAGGAGAAAACACACATACCTCTAACACAACACAGAGTTTCCCATTAGCTAGTGGCATCAGCAATTGTGTCAGATGAGCAAAACACTCAGGTGTAGCACACATTTCACCCTAGAGGATGACAGAGGAAATTGTCAAATTGCACTAACAATACTCCTAAAGCCAAAACACTTGGCCATCTTGAAGAAACATTCTAGAAATAAGACTTGTTTTACTATGGAGAAGTTATTTTGAAAGCTATTTCACCTTTTATAAATTGTTCATGTGCAGTTTTGTAATAAATTGAAGTAAAATGCCCATTGAATTGCACTGGGGTTTAAAACATGGCTCAGTTTAAAATATTATGGACTTTGTTTTGAAACAAAGAAAATAGTTGATTCTAGTTAAGCCAATAGTTTTATGTTGCACATAGATAGTGCTGAGTGCTCGTAAGGAATAACAATAGAGGAAATGGCTTATTAGTTATATAACTTGTCATATAAAAAATCTAAATTGTCAGCATGATTATATGCAAAAAACTTCATCTTGATCAAATGTTTGAAGATGTACAGTCAATTAAAAAAGACATACCTCAGGATCTCCGATTGCAGTATCATATCCAGCTGAAACCAGAATCAATTCTGGATTAAACTGTAGAGACAATAAGTTATTTAGTAACAAAGTATAGATACAAAGAGTACAATAACATGGATGCACAAGTATTAAAATAGTTAAATGTAACAATAATTACCTCATAAGCCATAGGAAGTAAAACATAGAAGAAAGCTGCCAGATAGTCAGCATTTTCCATTCCTGCCTGTTATAAAGGAATTTTTTAAAAAGTTACTTTTACTTAAATTTTGAAATGTGAAACTTAATGCTGTGCTTTTAGATGATTGCCGATGAGGAACGTAGATAAGAGATACCATGATTCCAAGTTATGTCCTTGGAAAATCTCTCAGGTAATACTGCAGTAGGATGTTGAATGTTATATTAGCAAGACCAGGAATAATTTAAGAGGATGCAAGGAAAGAGGGCAAGAAAGAAACTTGCAGTTCAAAAGTTTGTATCAGCACACGTGACAGTTGGCACCACTCCCCTACTGCGCTGCTGGTTTTATAAACTACAAGCATCTTGATAGTTCAGATCAAAAATAAAAGCTTTATTTTTAAAAACACCTTGTTCCATGGAATGTTTACATTGAATCCGGCCCCTTTGCCTTTTCCAATTGCATTGTAGTCAGAGTCCCTTAAATTGGGCCAGAACTGCTGGTTTTCGTAACGATGCCATGAGAAATACAAAACACTAAAAGAAACCAAAGTCATTAAAATACAAAACCTCTTGCATATCTAAAAATCACATTAAAATATCTATCCTCCTGAGAACCTGAGATAAACTGCAGTATGCCTACTGGCATCCAGGTGAAGTCCTCTTGTAACAGTAGTGGTAGTGTCCCTGCCCCTGGAGCAATACCTATATATACTCATACAACTGTGGTGCAAATTGGTTGTTCATTATTTAAAAAAAAAACAATTTAGCACTTGGGCCTTCTTGTGGCATGGTGGTATTATCCTTAACCCTAGACTGGGAGGGCAGGTCTCAAGTCCCACCTGCTCCAGAGGTCTGTAATAACATCTCTGAACAGGTTTACTAAAGAAATAGGTTAAATAAAAAAAGCTGACCCCTGGAGTCCTCTTGTGACACAGTGGTAAGTGTCCCTACCCCTGGAACAGGTTCTATGTATACTCACATGACTGTAGTGCAAATGGATTTGGTCAATCATCATTTAAAAAAAAATTCAATTTAGCACTCGGGCCCTCTTGTGATTTAGTGATATTTCCTTACCTCTGGACTAGAAAGCCAGGGCTCAAGTCCCACCTGCTCCAGAGATGTGTACATCTCTGAACAGGTTGATTAGAAAAACAGGATATTAAGAAAGAACAATTTAGCACTCATCAAGACAACTATTGGAAGAGCTAAGTTTGCTTGGAAATTTAGATGACTTTCTCACAATAAGGACTATGACAAAACCGCAGGTTCAAGATTGATTTCTCCCCTGTAATATCCCATTTTTTTTTTTGTAAAAACAGAAATGAATTTGTACTAACGTGGGATCCTCCTCAAACGTGTACTGAGTTCCTTGGCCATGATGCACATCCCAATCAACAATCAGAATTCTAGAAGAGATGAACCATGCAAACTATAATTGATATCATCAAAACAAACAGTTTTCTAATTTAAAAAAATCAGATCTTCACCTCTTTGCTCCATGTTTTTCTTTCGCATACTTGGCTGCTATTGCTACATTATTAAAGATACAAAATCCACAGGCTTCACTCTTGTGGCTATGATGACCTGGAGGTCTGGGAGAATGAACAAAATAAATTTATCATGTGAACACAGACATTACATGAAATCAAATGAAATGTATAAATATGAAATTATCCTGTACCTGACCAATGCCATCCCATTTCTTACTTTACCCAACATAACTGCATCAACAAGCTGCAGAGTTGCTCCCAGAGCTACTTTGGCACAGTGGTAAGAATTCTAAAACGAAATGAGACTTTGATAAAACTAGCAATAAAGTCACATCACTGAGTTAAGACACTGAAAAACTCAGTTAGCAACCAACACATGAAGTAGTTGTCAGCAATCAATTCAAGCACCATCTTTAACAGTTTACCTAGTTGATAAATTCTCAAAATACTCTCCAGCAGACAAAAAAGTTGCCTCAAGTTTACTTTCTTGTATATTTTTAGTTTTGTGGCTTGGCTTATTAGACACTGATTAATTACGTTAGCAAATCTAGTTTTGTATTATTCTGGTACAGAATCATGATGTCACAACATTCTGCCTGAGTTCCTTTTTGTATCAAGACTTCCAAATTTTTTAAAAATTTAACCTATTTTTCTAATCAACCTGTTCAGTGATGTTATCGCACATCTCTGGAGCAGGTGCGACTTGAACATCGGCCTCCCAGTCCAGGGGTAGGGACACTGCCACTGTGCCACAAGTGGACCCTCATTTTCTAACAATTTTTTCTTTCATGTTTTCATGCTGGGTACAGACTCAACAACCTGTCCACCATCTCATATTGGTAATTATACTTCTTACATGGACTCCAACATCAGTAGGATGTCTGACCGCATTTAGGAGAAATGACGTCTCTAACACTGTTCTCACTCATTAGCACACTAGGATGGTCACAGTAACAGCTTACAACGCGGACCTTAGATACCTTAAAGTTTTGTTAGGCACATGATTTTCCTTTAGCCCAGAAATGTCAAGCTATGTGTGGCAGTTCTGCCTTGAATAAGATTAGCTGTGTACACAGAGACCAGGGTTCAAATGCTAGACCCTCTAGTTGTATTTTTCTATTAGTAATTGTTAATACAAACATTTTTCCATTGATAATTCAATGCCTAGTTGAAACTTTACACTCAGCACATATAAGAATTAAAATATATAAATGCTAAATGCGAGGTAATTAAGATAGTGCTGTACATGCTATCCCAGTGCTCCAAATGGAGAGATTTTTCCTATTTTCAATAATCCTCAGTGTGGGGGCATGGAGCAAAAAGTATATATCTTCAAATTTATGTGACTCCTTAACATGTCCATAGCTTATCACAAAACACTTCACATCCAACAAATTCCTTTTGAATCACCATGGCACCGGTAAACAGCATAGCGAATCTGCTACGTTAGCATCCCACAAATGACAAATAAGTCGAGCACATAATTTACATTTCACAGTCTCTTGAGATTAGAATGCTAACAAGAGTGAGGAAATCTTCCTACACTGAACAAGTAGATTGAGTTAAACAGTTGTTGGGGGAAACAAAATTGATGATAAAACAGAAAACTTCAAAGTTCTACTGAAGTGGCAACCAAGATTGGGAGTTTACGAACTTTTGATTTTCACAGCTTCAGAGAACCCTACCAATGAGAATGTGGTCTTGTTCATTCAATCCATTTTAGATCTATCAAAAAGAAATTTATTTCAATCCATTAGGACTAGATTTAAAAATCAAAAACTAAAGCAGCCAAAGTTCTTCAATTAAGGAGATGAAGCCCTGTTAGTTCATCAGCTAAATTCATTGCCCAAATTTAATATTTTGTTTAACCTATTTTTCTACTCAAGCTGTTCAGAAATGTTATTACACAGTTCTGGAGCAGGTGGGACTTGAACCTGGGCCTCCTGATCCAGGAGTAGGGACACTACCTACTACTGTGCCACAAGTGGGCGCATTTGTCAGATTTAATCTGCAGACTACGGATTGGAGACATATGGCCTAATTTGAGAGACCAATCCTCGAATGGAGTCTTGAAGTCACCAAGTCCAACATAAGTGCAAGTGCTGTCAATGCAAAAGAGTTGGCACAGTAAAAGAAATAGAAACATAATTTTTTTATGAATATCATTGTGAATTTTTTGATACAAGTGGTATTTTACTTACAGGATGAAAATATACATCATTATAATTATAGGAAAATGCCTTCAGTTCTTCAATATTCATAGATACAGTAGATTTCACAGCTTCTATGTAATCCAAGCTAAAGAAATAAAACACTTTAATATGAACTGGCTCAAATTATCAGTTTTGCTAATTTAAAAACTGTTAGGCATTTTGTGATACAATATGTAGCTTTAGCAATGGTACAAATCAGATTGATAGGGTATAGGTCATAGTTTCTGATCTTGGTTAATGTAATTAGTTATTTAATTGAATTAATTAATCCATGATCTAATGAAATGGTGGAACCGGTTTCACAAGCTGAATAGCCTGCCCTTGTTCCTAAGCTTCCATGCTTAGTCCACAAGGGAAGCATGTCCTCAGAAAAACTTAAAGTGGCAATGGCAAAACTGGGGTACCAGGCTATCCGGATGCGGCTGGGCTGGTTCAGTCTTTCAAAACGAAAGTATTGCAGATGTAAATCACTATTTGTTTAACTCATTTATTGAAGTGATTAAAAGTTTCATATTACCTAATGTCACTAAAGCAGAAAAGTATTTAATCAAGACATTTGCTGAAGCATTACCTCGTTACCCAAATTTTTACAATTTTTGATCAATAAAAACTTACCTTAATTTTGTAATATATATACACATTTTGCATCATGAAACAGGTTATGTACAGACAGGTACATATTCTTTTTGTTTTATTCACTCATGACGTGGGCATCACTTTCTGGTCAGCATTTATTGCCCATCCCTAGTTGCCCTTGAGAAGGTGAGTGAGCTGCCTTCTTGAACCGCTGCAGTCCACAAATTGAGGCTTTGTAGTGACTGATACAACTGAGTGCTTTGCTAGGCCATTTCAGAGGGCAGCAACCACATTGCTATGGCACTGGAGTTACATGTAGGCCAGACCAGGTGAGGATGGCAGATTTTCTTCCCTGAAGAAAATTTTTGAGCCAGATGGATTTTTACTACAACTGACAGTGGTTACACAGTCACCATCAGGCCAACTCTTTATTCCAGACTTTTTTTTTGTTGAATTCAATCTTCACTATCTGTCATGGATGCAAGCCCATTACCACAGAACATTGGCCTGGGGTTCTAGATTGCTAGTCCAGTGACATCACCACTACAACACCACCTCATTTCGCTGGAGTATTCTCCAATGGCAATGCCTCTATGAATCAGAGTTTAGTAGCCAACCAATCAGTACTTTTCTTTTATACAGTATCAATATTGTATCCCTTTATATTGGTATTTTTGTGAATTGTCCCGATGTGTATAAAACAAAAGCCGCTCACGCTTGGACATAGAGCAGTTTTTCCGCCGCCTCCGCCTCCACGCTTACTTCTTTAACCGCGAACCTAACCCTCCCTCTACTGACCCCTTCTCCCGCTTCCAACACACCTCCTCCTCCTGGACACCACCCCAAGGCCTCCTACCCTCCCTCGACCTCTTCATCTCCAACTGCCGTCGAGACATCAATCGCCTCAACCTCTCCACCCCTCTCACCCACTCCAACCTCTCCCCCGCAGAACGTGCAGCCCTCCGCTCCCTCCGCTCCAATCCCAACCTCACCATAAAACCTGCGGACAAGGGAGGTGCAGTTGTAGTATGGCGCACTGACCTCTACATCGCCAAGGCCGGACGCCAACTCTCCGACACCTCCTCCTACCGCCCCCTTGATCAAGACCCCACCCCTGAGCACCAAACCATCATCTCCCAAACCATCCACAACCTCATCACCTCAGGTGACCTCCCACCCACGGCCTCCAACCTCATCGTTCCCCAACCTCGCACTGCCCGCTTCTATCTCCTTCCCAAAATCCACAAACCTGAATGCCCTGGTCGACCCATTGTCTCCGCCTGCTCCTGCCCCACCGAACTGATCTCCAACTATCTCGACTCCATTTTCTCCCCCTTGGTCCAGGAACTCCCTACCTATGTCCGTGACACCACCCACGCCCTCCACCTCCTCCAGAACTTCCAATTCCCCGGTCCCCAACACCTCATCTTTACCATGGACGTTCAGTCCCTCTACACCTGCATTCCCCATGCAGATGGCCTTAAGGCCCTCCACTTCTTCCTGTCCCGCAGGCCCGACCAGTCCCCCTCCACTGACACCCTCATCCGCTTAGCCGAACTCGTCCTCACACTCAACAACTTCTCTTTCAATTCCTCCCACTTCCTACAGACAAAGGGGGTAGCCATGGGTAGCCGCATGGGCCCAAGCTATGCCTGCCTCTTTGTAGGTTACGTGGAACAATCCCTCTTCCGTACCTACACCGGCCCTAAACACCACCTCTTCCTCCGTTACATTGATGACTGTATCGGCGCCGCCTCGTGCTCCCACGAGGAGCTCGAACAGTTCATACACTTCACTAACACCTTCCACCCCAACCTTAAGTTTACCTGGACCATCTCTAACACCTCTCTCCCCTTCCTGGACCTCTCTTCTCCATATCGGGCAACCACCTAGAAACCGATATTCATTTCAAGCCCACCGACTCCCACAGCTACCTAGAATACTCCTCCTCCCACCCACCTTCCTGCAAAAATGCTATCCCCTATTCCCAATTCCTTCGCCTCCGCCGCATCTGCTCCCAGGATGAGGCATTCCACTCCCGTACATCTCAGTTGTCCTCGTTTTTCAAGGACCGTAACTTCCCCTCCTCGGTGGTCGAGAACGCCCTCAACCGTGTCTCCCACATCTCCCGCACCTCATCCCTCACACCCCGTCCACGCAATAAAAACCAAAAAAGAATCCCCCTCGTCCTCACGTACCACCCCACCAACCTCCGGATCCAACGCATCATCCTCCGACACTTCCGCCATCTGCAATCCGACCCCACCACCAAAGACATCTTTCCCTCCCCACCTTTATCTGCTTTCCGGAGGGACAACTCTCTCCGTGACTCCCTTGTCCGCTCCACACTCCCCTCCAGCTCCACCACACCCGGCACTTTTCCCTGCAACCGCAGGAAGTGCTACACCTGCCCCCATACCTCCTCCCTCACCCCCATGTCAGGCCCCAAGAAGACTTTCCACATCAAGCAGATGTTCACCTGCACATCTGCCAATGTGGTATACTGCATCCGCTGTACCCGGTGTGGCTTCCTCTACATCGGGGAAACCAAGCGGAGACTCGGGGACCGCTTTGCAGAACACCTACGCTCGGTTCGCAACAAACAACTGCACCTCCCAGTCGCGAACCATTTCAACTCCCCCTCCCATTCCTCAGACGACATGTCCATCCTGGGCCTCCTGCAGTGCCACAACGATGCCACCCGAAGGTTGCAGGAACAGCAACTCATATTCCGCTTGGGAACCCTGCAGCCCAATGGTATCAATGTGGATTTCACAAGTTTCAAAATCTCCCCTCCCCCCACCGCATCCCAAAACCAGTCCAACTCGTCCCTGCCTCCCTAACCTGTTCTTCCTCCCACCTATCCCCTCCTCCCACCCCAAGCCGCACCTCCATCTCCTACCGACCAACCTCATCCCGCCCCCTTGACCTGTCCGTCCTCCCTGGACTGACCTATCCCCTTCCTAACTCCCTACCTACACTCACCTTTACTGGCTCCATCCCCGCCTCTTCGACCTGTTTGTTTCCTCTCCACCTATCCTCTCCTCTATCCCTCTTCTATCCGCCTCCCACTCTCTCCCTATTTATTTCAAAACCCCCTTCCCCTCCCCCTTTTCTGATGAAGGGTCTAGGCCCGAAACGTCAGCCTCTCTGCTCCTATGATGCTGCTTGGCCTGCTGTGTTCATCCAGCCCTGCACCTTGCTGTCTCGGATTCTCCAGCATCTGCAGTTCCTACTATCTCTCTTCAACAAAATGTCCTTTTTTTTTCAATACTCAAGTTCTCTTGCTCTTTTGACCACATTTAGTGGTCCATTTAGAAGCCACATTGGCTTCTCTACCTATCTTGCCCTGATGATCTTTCTTAAGCAGTTTTACTTTGCCATACTCTTTCAAAACAAACATAAAATCGGTGGCAGAAGACACAGCATGTGTTCCCTCTGAGAAATACAAATACGAAACTGGTTGTTTATCAACAAAACAAATGGGAGACACAATTGCATGACAAGATGACTTGATAACCTTAGGTATGATACTAGGAAAGACACAGCAGGATGATAGTCTGCTTCCCAACCTTTAGTCAAGGAAGGGGGTAAATGGACACAACAATATACAAGATAATAGAAGTTTAAAAGTAGGTACAACCTGTGAACCAACAAAATTTCCTCTTCGACAGCTTCTCGAACAGTTAGTGGGATGCATCTTTCCACAAGACCATAGTACTTCAGTTTCTCAAGAGAAGCAGACAGTCGCTCTGGTTTTTCGATACTGCAAACTGGGCTAAAATGAATCCAAAAGTGAAACTGTTACCAAGATTAATATTATGTATCATAAGCAATTTTTTACTTGCCAGATGAACACAATAAATTCGCTTGAAAAAAACCGAAAGAACTGCATAAGCTGGAAATCTGAAACAAAACCAAAAATTGCTGGAAAATCTCAGCAGGTCTGGCAGCATCTGTGAACAGAAATCAGAGTTAACTTTGCGGGTCCAGCGAACCTTCTTCAAAACCAATGGTAGCTAGGAAAAGGATGGTTTTAGTCAGTTTGAAAGCTTCATCATCTTATTCAGAGCTGCCATGATGGATTGCTAGTCTGGAAAATGCATCTATTGTGCTATCATATGTGTTAGCCAAAAAAAGAAAGTTATGGTGATGGGTAGAACAAAGGTAACTCCAATTGCTTCTGAAAGGCTGTACCTGATCTGAGGATACTGAACAACAATACCTTAGTTGTTGAAAGATAAAGTCATACAGCACAGAAACAGACCCGTCAGTCCAACTCGTCCATGCCGATCAAGTTTCCAAAACTAAACTAGTCCCACTTGCCTGCGTTTGGCTCATATCCCTCTAACCCTTTCCTGTTCACGTACCTGTCGAAATATCTTTTAAATGGTGTAACCATACCTGCATCTACCACTTCCTCTGGCAGTTTATTCCACATTCGAAGCAACCTCTGTGTGAAAAAACTGCCCTTCAGGTCCCTTTTAAATCTTTCTCCCCTCACCTTAAAAATATGCCCCCTAGTTTTGAACTCTCCCTCCCTAGGGGAAAAAAAGACTTTTGCTATTCACTGTAACTATGCCCCTCCTGATTTTATAAACCTCTATAAGATCATCCTTCAACCTCCCACACTCCAGTAAAAGAAGTCCCAGCCTATCCGGCCTCTCCTGATAACTCAAACCCTCCAGTCCCAGCAACATCCTGGTAAATCTTTTCTGAACTTGTTTGACACCCAAGTATTAAAAGAGTGAAGTACTTAGAAAGAAATTCAGACTTGCTGGGTTTCAGGTATATAATACTTATCCTTGCTAAAATACCTCAATTTAGTAGACTATGCACAATTACTTCAGTTTTCCCAATATTTAATTATCTAGTTCCAGATGTTAGATAAACAGTCTGATAATTTAACAACAGTGGACAAGTCATGACAGGAGGTGGTAAGGAACAGCCAACTGTCAGATTATGTTCTGGGCTTTCAGGTCATATTGTCATGGAGCAGAATGTAGATGAGAAACAGAGGGATTAAAGACAAATTCTCAAGGAATATCAAAGGTAATGACATGAGTGGGAAGATGGCACTTGTGCATCACTGGGAAGATCAGCAATTGCTTCCCAATCCTAAATATCCTTGAACCAATTGGCTTGCAAGGCTATTTCAGAGGGCAGTTAAGTGTCAACCACATTACTGTGGATTTGGAGTTACTTGTAGATGAAATTGGGCAAGGATGTCCTTCCCTAAAGGATATGAGTGAACCAAATTGGGTTTTTACAACACTACCATTATGCAAAGGGGCTTTTAATGCCAGAATGTTTTATTAGTTACAGTTAAATTCTGCCCACTGCCAAAGTGGGATTTGAACCAGTGCCTCGAGATCATTGACAGGTATCACTGGATTGCTATTCCAGTGAGAACACCAACTGTCATTCTTTGAAAGTGATTTGCATTAAGTAGACAAAATTAGAACCAGGAGTCAAGCATGGTCCCACTCAACTGTATCACACTGGAGAGACCTTAGGGGAGAATGGTGCACTGAACTGCTTAAATTTAAATTTGCTTCATGTGAGATCAAGAATTGCTGATTATGTTTAAACATTTACCTATTTAAAGTGCTCCCTAAGAATTTCAATTTAAAGCAAGAGTATTAATTGCTTTAAAAACATAAAACAACATATTACAGCACTTACAAATCCCACAGCAGACTGTAGTTCTTCATCTGTTCATTGTAGATCAACCCTGTTCTCAAAGCCATGACTGAAGAAATAAAAATACATTGCTTTATTTTGGATTCAGTGACAATTTTAACATTAAAATATATTTTAAGAGCAGAAGATCAGAAGATGTGGAAGCAGAAGTAGGCTATTCAGCCCATCAAGTATGCTCTACCATTCAATGGAATCATGTCTGAACTGATAACCCTCAATCCGCTTTCCTGCCTTTTCCCCATGCTGTCCATTCCCTTACTAATCAAAAGAAAATCTCTCATTCTTGAATATACTCAATACTCAACACGCAACCTTGAATATACTCAACGACCTGGCCTTGACAGTCCTCTGCGGTAAAGAATGCCACAGATTCACAACTCAGAAGAAATTCCAGCTCATCTTCATTTTGAATACGCAATCACTTATTCAGAGATTACACCCTGTGACCGTAGGGTCCCCACAAGAGGAAACAACCTGTCCACATCTAAACTATCAAATCCTTAGAGGATTGTGTGTGTTAGATAGAGGCAAATGTAAATTTATAAGGGTCGAAAATTTGACATTTCAATTAACTTTGAAGATACATTGTTTCAAACTCACCTTCTGCCTGTCTCAAGCAAAAGCAGTTTAGGAATGAGATGTGGAAGAGCCGTGAAATGTCATGTTTTGCACCCCGTTTCGCTTTAATTGTTAAACTCTGACCTTTTCTTCTCACTCGGATTCTTAATTTCTTTGGCTACATCTCAAACAAAATACCTCTGGTGCGCTAAACACTGTCCCACTAACAACTTTTTTTTTGAACACCACCTCCCAGCCAACTAATGTGCAAAAAGCTGCGAACTACTTTCCTCCAAACCTCAAACTCTTTGCAGCACATATTCCGGTAAACTTCTCACCAATTTTGAGAGTCGGTTCTGCTCAATCTCTCCATTGGATGCGTTAATGAAACACGCTTATTGTTAATCAAAGATAACACAGTGTGGAGCTGGAGGAACATAGCAGGCCAGGCAGCATCAGAGGAGCAGGAAAGTTGACATTTCGGGTCGGGACCCTTCTGCAGAAATGGGGAGGGGGAAGGGAGCTCAGAAATGAATAGAAGCAGGGGTGGGGCTGGGGAAGGTAGGTAGGGAGTGGTGGGGATTGGTCAGTGGGATGGGTGGGGTGGATAGGTGGGAGAGAAGATGGACAGGTTGTGTCAGGTCAAGGAGGCGAGGGATGAGAGGAAGGCTTGGACATGGGATGAGGCTGGGGGTGAGGAGATTTTAAAACTAATGAAATCCAAGTTCAGGCCATCAGAACGTAGGCTCCCGAGGCTGAATATGAGATGCTGTTCCTCCAGTTTGCGGGTGGAGTCATTGTGACACTGGAGGAGGCCCAGGATGGACATATAACCCAGGGAGTAGGAGGGGGAACTAAAATGGTTCGCAATTGGAAGGTGTTGTCATTTGTCGCGTACAGAGCGCAGATACTCTACAAAACAGTCTCAGCGTCTCCACTTGGTCTCAGTGATGTACAGGAGGCCACATTGGGAGCAGTAGATGCAGTAGACCAAGCTGATGGATGTGGAGATGAATCCCTGTCTAAGGTGGAAGGTTTGTTTTGTGCCTTGAATGGAAGTGATGGGGGGGAGAGAAGATGTAGGGGCATATGCAGCACTTTCTGCAGTTGCAGGGAAGGGCGCCAGGGGTGATAGGGTTAGTGGACGAGAGAGTCGTGGAGAGAGCAGTCCCTACGAAAGGCAGATGGGGTGGGGAGGGAAATATCTCTTTGATTGTGGGTTCGGATTGTAGGTGGCAGAAGTGGTGGAGAATGATACGTTGGTGGGGTGATATGTGAGGACAAGGGGGAATTCTGTCTTTACTTTTGCTGGGGGGAGGAGATGTGAGGGCAGAGGTGCGGGAAACGCAAGAGATGTGGTTGAGAGCATTTTTGATCGCCAGAGGGGACAAGTTACAATCCTTGAACTGGAAGAGCATCTGGGATGTGCAGGAGTGGAACGCCCCATCTTGACAGCAGATGCGGCAGAGGCAGAGGAGTTGGGAGTAGGGGATCACATGCTTGCAGGAAGGTGGGTGAAAGGAGGTGTAGTCCAGGTAGCTGTGGAAGTTGGTGGGCATGTCAGTTTTGAAGCAGTCACCAGTGATGGAGACAGAGAGGTCCAGGAAGAACCAGATGTCCTCCTATTTCAAGGATTGTAACTTTCCCCCTTCGGTGACTGAAAATGCCTTCAACTGCATCTCCTGCGTTTCCCGCACCTATGTATGTATACAGTATTTGTGGATTTCCCCTGAGCTGCAGTTTCTGTGATCCAAGAAAGAAGCAAATGATCCTGAAATCTGCATAATTGTACAGAAATCATGCTTTTTAAAAACATCACAAAAGTCCCAAATAGATATATAAAATGGCAGTGCAGTTGCTCTTTTTAAAAAGCTAGAACTTGTGGAGAGACCGGTGGTGACAGCATTGCAGCAGCTGAGGGCCCAGATTGGGATGGTCAGCAGACCAGGGCAGAGAAGGACAATCAACAGGACCAGGACAGTGATCGAACTGAGGGCTTGGAACAGGGCGGCTGGCAGTCAGGGGCCTAGTGCGGTCAGCCTGTCACAGATGGCAGTCAGCCTAGCATGTGAGAGCATAACCCACGTGTGGAAAACTCCCAGTGTGGAACTTTTCTTCTTTATTTTCCAAATTTATACTATGTACAACTTAAATGTAGAACTTCAGTTTTTTTTTTCCTTTGTTTATTTTTGCAGCTAATCTATTTTAGTACCTAAGCTTTGGAGCTAGGTACTTTGTACCTAAGATGGCATTGTGTGGTTAAATTGTACACTCTTCACTGTACTTTTGTACTTGAATATACATGACAATAAAACCTAATTCTGGTACAGTGAAATGTGCATAAGGCAAAAGAAAAGGGTGAAGTTTCCACTAAAATAAAAGCAAAATACTCCAGGTGCTGGTAATCTGAAAGTAAAACAAAGTGCTGAAGAAATTCAGCTACTCTGGCAACATTTGTCGACAAAGTCAGAAGTCCCACAACACTAGGTTATGGTCCAACAGGTTTATTTGAAATCATAAGTTTTTGGAGTGCTGTTCCTTTTCCAGTTGAAGACGAAGGAGCAGCGCCTCGAAAGCTTGTGACGTCTGACTTTGTATACCCTAGTCCAACACCAGCATCTCTACATCACGGCTAACATTTGTGCAGACAGGAAGAGTGAACATTTCGAATCTGATATGACATTCCCCTCGGAAGAATTCCCACCCTTGCTGTCTCAGATCTATTTACACCTTCTCTAAAAATGTACTTCATACGTAAAAGTCCTCAAGAGTACAGTGCAAAACATGTCAGAGAAATACAACTCTGATCCATCGAACATGTTGCATTAGTAGTTGCTACTCTCCAAATGTAAGACATAAGACCCTTTACTAACACACAGCACATCAACCTGAACAAAGACGATGATAGAAAACTTCAAACCAACTTCTCGCGCTGACCTCAGGGATAACCACTTCCGCAGGTCAACACTCCCGTCTCCGGCGGAAGTGATATTTGATTGGCAGCAGATGCAGCCAGTGGAAGGAGGTGCCGTAAGCGAACGTCCAATAGTAACATAGCGCGCCAAGGGTTGAGTTATTCGATTGGTTGATGGGGTGAAGGAGGCGGAGACACCGTGGCGGTTGAGGGGCGGGGTCCACCTGCTGTTTGACGGTTGGAGAGCGGCGGGAGGGTGGTACAATGCTCCCGGGATGGGGATTTTGTAGCATAGTATAGCAGTGCTCTTTGGTTAGACGTGAGGGGCCTGTCTCTGTCTGAGCTGATACTGAAAACTCCCATTACTCTCCACAGGGAGAGGGCTTCCTGCTGAACGGTTCCAGCGTTCTCTGCTCATTCTTCTGGCCTCTTCCTGTGCTGGATCCTCCCGTTGGTTAAAGCCTCACCGGTTATAACGCGAATTGCTAGCGGAACTCAGCAGGTCTGGCAACACCTTGGGGGAGAAAGCAGAGTTAACGTTTCGAGCCCGGTGACTCTTCATCAGAACCAACTGCTTCTTCGTGGATGGAGTGAAGCTGCGTCCAGCCTTCCTCCCGTAATGTGCCCTTTACGGGTACTGCGCATAGGTATATATTACCATTATGTCTACCACACGATGTCAGCGTCTTGTCAATGTGTAATACATCCCCTTAATTGGGAGGTAAGGGGCTGCAAACCGTAATAATTTCGCCCCAGCTTTTCCCTAGGAGCGGAGATGCTTTGACGCAATTGCACAGCCGATTGGTGAGGTCACACCTGGAGTAATCATAGATGACAGAATCCCTACAGTGTGGAAACGTGTGCAGTTTTGCTCTCCTGATAAGAGGAAGGATGTTCTGTCTATGGAGGGACTGCAACACAACAGATTTACCTCACTGATTGTATCCGTCTGAAGAAAGAGAGTTATTGTTTGGGGTTTGGTGCCTCTTTCGGAAAAGATGCTACCAGACCTGCTGAGTTTTGCTAGCAATTTCTTTTTTTGTTTCAGAGATCTGTCTGAAGTTCTTTGTTTCAACTTACTAGGCTGATCCCTAGGACTGCGGGACTGATGTATGAAGAGCGACTTGTTCAGTTAGGACTATATTTACTGGAGTTTAGGAGAATAAGCAGGGATCTCGTTGGAACCTATAAAACTCTAGCGGGACTAAACAGGATAAATGCATGAAGGATGTTCCCAATGACTGGGAAGTTCAGAATCAAGATTCACAGTCTAAGGATATGGGTAGGCCATTTAGGACTGAGATGAGAAATTTCTTGGCCCAGAGAGTGGTGAGCATGTAGAATTCTCTCTTTCAGAAAGTGGTTGAGGCCAAAGCGTTAAAAGTTTTCAAGAAGGTGTTGATATAGCTAAAGGGATCAAAGGGTATAAGGAGAAAGGGGGAACAAGGTATGGAGTTGATGATCAGATGTGATCATATTGAATGGTGGAAGGGCTGAATGACTTGCTCCTGCTCCTGTTTTCTTCGTTTTCGAAGTTTCCGCTTCTCATTTGTGTTGGCTATATATTTTGTACTTAACAATGGTGAACCCTAAAATGAAATACTTCTAAAATTGTGATTGTAATTGAGGTAATACTGAATGTTATTTTTGTCATTAGGAAATTGATATACATAATTTACGTAACCTGACTGAATCTTGATTGGAATGCAAAAAAATTTCTACATGTTCACCTCCTCTATGACTCTATCTCTAACTTTTTTGTTGCTACCAGGGCAATTACTTTTCTGGGTATAGCTGCCTATCACTTTGTCCAAGGGAATCCATCTTTGTGAAAAAATTTAAGGAGAAGAAACATGAATAAGGCCGTTGTCATCTAGCTGTCTGCTCTTTCTGAAGGCAATTTGAACACGTGGGAAATCTCCAACTCTGCCACTGCCACCACCATCACGTATGCAAAAATTGGCCATGTGCCCTAACAAATATTTTGAATAAGTAACCAGCTCAACACATATTGGAATTAGTACATAAAACCTCTTGGACTGCACGTTTGGAACATTTTTTTTGTACTACTGGAGGATAAAATTTGTACTCTGCTAACTTGTTTCACCATTCTGAAAAACCTGGGTCAAGTCAGTTCTGAATTTCAGAATTTGTAGGATTATAGATCATTGAATATTGACCAGGAACATAAAAGTGATAAACATCATAAAGCAGTAATAAAAATGTTTTTCTCATGCAAATGCTGTTCCCATGTTTCTATTACAAAGGTATGCACCAGGATGAGTTGCTGGCTGAGCTCAAAAATTTCTGGCAACCGGTGATTTTGGACAATAGATTTCTGGACTGGAGATATTACAGCATGCTTATTTCCGGTGCTATGAATGCATAATATTGAGTTGCCATAGGGCTGCTCTCTCATTGGAGAGCGTTAACGAGTGGTGAATTAACCTGACAGGCTCCATGCCTCAGGTGAGGGTCGAGGTTGCAAAAGCAGGACGTTCATGATGACCCCAGCTGGTGTGGCAAATGAACCCATGTTGTTGCCGTCACTCTGCATTGTAAACCTGTCATCCAGCCAAGTGAGCGAGCCACATCTTTTGCTTTTCAAGTCTTTTGTCCAATTCTGAGACTGATTCTGTAATTTGATTGTGTCCAATATGCGAACTAGTTACTTGTGTTTGGCGATCGGAACTGGACAGAGTGATCTGTAAAGTTTGATCATGACTTCCGCTGGCACCCTATTATTTTTGCTATTACAGTTCAGGTAGTTTTAGTTGGTTTGTAATTGCTGCAGGAAAGTGGTTGAAGAAAACATATCTTAAGACTTTACAATTGGTCCTGAACCTTCCAACTTGAATTAAGAAAACAAAACCAACGTTACACATCATCATTGGCATGTTTGCTGCCCATGTTGGAATATGATAAGTAATTATAAACAAGAAAATTCTTTTTTCAGTTGTTAAACCTGAATGCATTGATGTTACATAGCTCATTGTTTTTTTTTGCGCTTAAGAACTTTCCTTTTTCTTTTTGCCCTAGACTCAAAGGATAAAGAATTGCTGAACCTAAGGACCAGTGTCGTTAAACTTTGGCACGTCCACCATTTCTGAAACAGCAATGGCAAGCATTACGCAATTATTTGGAGACCTCTGTGAAGCCCAGATGACAGGCTTGTCATGGAAATGTTACTTGGGCAAAAGAAGACTCAACCGAAGACAATTCAAAGAAAAATTAAAAAGGGTTGTTTACAATACGCTATTTATAAACCTTTTCCGAGATGAAGCAACTCCAAAATATCAGTCTGATATCAGCAAACTGCCTGTGAAAAACAAAATCTTGATGCTGTCCTTCAATTTGAGGGTGGCAGGCTTGGGCATAGAAGCTGATCGCTTGGAAGAACTTACAGATCAATTAGAAAAATCAGTATGCATGTCACAGTCTGATCTGAATTCTGTCCTGGAACTTCTGATTGAGCTTGCAGGAACTGGACCATATCAACTTCAGCCACAGAAAAGGGATTATTTCTTGAACAATAAAAATGTTGGGAGAAATGTAAAACTTCAGGGCTATGATCACTACGATGTGAGCCTATTTGAATTGGGGCTGTTGTCCTTCAATTCCAATGAGGACTTTCAATTTCACGACAATGTGCAACGTACTCTTCAGTTAATGGATGCAAAACCAGGCACTGGATTACCTGGCATTGGATTATTCTCCCATAATTACTTAGCTGGAGACAAGTACGAAAAAGAAACACGAGTGTCGCTTTTTGGTGCACTTGTACGTAGTCGTACTTGTGAAATGGAAATTAAGTTGGATTTGCCTGCAGTGCCAGATAACATAGATATCACTGGACTTAAAATTCGGGTAAGTGAGTATAACATTGAGATATAGGATGAAGTTCCCTGCAGGAGCACAATTCAGAAGCTACACCTGAAATTATGTTTATTTTTGCACCCATTTTACTGGTATCAATTTATTCATACATTTCCTGCAAATTTCATTAACATGCACTGGAATATGAAATCTTATGTAAACAAGTTAAAAGAAGCACAGAAAATTTTGATACAATCTGGGAGAGTAACTCAAACTGTATATTGCCCTTCCAAGATTGAAAATTAAAGTTTTAAGCCATCCAACCATCAGTCATGCACACTTACTCAATATGTTTGAACAAGTAATCACGGAAATGGTTTAATTGTTAATGTTACTCAAACTAAAGTCATAAAAATGCATTGAAAAAATGGCAAGTTGTGTGGTAGAATCTCATACCTGTTAAGATTTTTGGTTTTATTCATTTGTTGACAGCAAATTGGAAACGCAACAAGACTGGTCCGAAAGCAGGTAGAGGGTTATTGAGCCTACATAAGAGGATCTGTGACCAAATGATTCCTGTACCAATTCTTTCCTTTATGAACTAGAGACATCAGCAAGATAATATTTTGGTTTTAATTGTGTTCCTGGCAGTTTACTGTTAGCAGTTAATGTCACCAAGTTTCTCATTTTTCCAAATAGACCAAGTAATAATGAACATGCAGTGGCAGTAGGAGGATCCAGTGGTAATTGTCAATGTAGGTACTAACATAACAACTAGGAGCGAGACTAGGCAATTCAGCCCCTTGACCCTACTTCACCATTTAATTTGATTATGGGTGATTGCACTTTGGCCTCAACTGCACTTTCCTGTCTGCTTTCCATAACCTTTCAACCCATTACTAATTAAAAATCTGTCCATCTTCTCTTTTAAATTTATTCACCGTCCTAGCATCCTCAAAACTCTGGGGTAGTGAATTCCACAGTTCCAAGACCCTTTTGCGAGAAGTAATTTCTCCCCATCTCTGTTTTAAATCTGCTGCTCATTATCCTAAAACTATGATCTCTCAATCTAGATTGCTCCACATGAGGAAACATCCTTTCTACGTCATAGAGTCATAGAGATGTACAGCATGGAAACAGACCCTTCGGTCCAACTTGTTCATGCTGACCAGATATTCTAAATAAATCTAGTCCCATTTGCCAGCATTTGGCCTATATCCCTCTAAACACTTCCTTTTCATGTACCCATCCAGATGCCTTTTAAATGTTGTAATTGTACTGGCCTCCACCACTTCCTCTGGCAGCTCATTCCATACACACACCACCCTTTGTGTGAAAAAGTTGCCCCTTAGGTCCCTTTTAAATCTTTCCCTCTCACCTTAAACCTCTGCCCTCTAGTTTTGGACACACCCCACCCCAGGGATTTTGTCAATCCTTTTTTTAACATTTTATATACCTCAATCAGACAACATAGCTCCTATCCAGAATCTCTTTCCTATTTCTATCTAGTAACTAGGCAATAAATTAGAAAGGAGAACCTCAAAGTTTATAATCTTTGAATTATCACCCAAACCATGTGCAGTTTCATTCTAAAGAATCCCTACAGTGTGGAAACTGGCCACTTGGCCCAACAAGTCCACACCAACTCTCTCATGAGTATCTCACCAAGACTCACACCCCTATCCTATCCCTGTAACCTTGCATTTCCCATACATAATCCACCTAACATACACATCCCTGGACACTACGGGCAATTTAGCATGGCTAATCCACCCTTACTGCAGATATTTGGACTATGGGAGGAAACCAGAGCCCCCAGAGGAAACCCATGCAGACACGGGAAGAATGTGCAGACTCTACACAGACAGTCGCACAAAACTGGAATTGAACCTAGGTTCCTGGCACTGTGAGGCAGCAGTGCTAACTACTGAGCCACCGTCGCGACATTACGTGACGTGATGGCCTGTTCTTCAGAGACTTTTACTTTTATTTAATTAAAACAGTTGGTGAGGTGTCACCTCAGTTTTGAAGTTCAGTTTGTGACTCAGCCTCTTTTGCTCCTCTAAACTGGAATTATGTGGCTCAAAGATTGGTGTAGGAGAAGTGGGATCTGGTTTGTGGACTGCTGAAAGTCACTGCACTACCGTTAGGACACTCAACACCTGAGCCATGCTGCAGTTGTTCTTCTTGAGAATTGCGTAACTCGGGAAGCAAAGAGGATTTTAAATGAAATAATGGGGGCAAGGGATCAAATGTGGAAAGACTTCTATCAAGGACTAGAGGCAAGGTCAGAGACGAAAATAGCTATACAGGAAACGAGGGTCAGAGAAGGAAAGGGGATAGAGTCAGATTTAAAATCTAAGAATACAGCACCAATGAAGACTAAATGTACAAAGCTAGCAAAAAGATAAAACTAATTTTCTGTGTCTGTATGTGCATAGCGTTTATAACAAAACAAATGAATTGATAGCTCCCATTGAAGTAAATAAAGTGGATCTGATAGCCATTGAAGAGACAGGACTTCAGGATGACAAGAATTGGGTCCTGAATACAACATTCTAGTAGAAGGAAACTAGGTAATGATATATCTTTGAGGTATCTAGCAAGGGAGAAAGATTATTATGCAAATGAAATGCAAGAATTATAATGAGTTGATTTGGCTCAGTTTCACACGTACCATTTACTGATACTACCTTCAAGTATTGACAGTTTATTTTCCGCGTTGATGAACTGTTAATCATTGAATTATGGAATGTGTATTTGTGCCAAATCCAAATTTTTCTGTTAATCTAGATTAATAATTATAATTGAATTTTTAAAATATTTATTTCTTGATAATTTAACCTTATTTAAATAACAGTTATTTCAATGCAATATATAAATGAAATCTTCAAAATAAGTGAGTTCCATTTAACTAGTTAAGAATTTTTCAGTTTGTGATTTTTGGGACTGTGTTTGTGGGAGAGCTGAATTTTGTCTTGATGCTTAAAGTATTATTATAAACAACAATTTTTCTAATGTAGCAATATTTATATTGAGATGAACCTTAAAATCTATACGTACACAGGTTCCTCAAAGCATTGACCAGTCAGAAGATGAAGGATTTCAGTCAGCATCCAACCTTACTCCAGATTCCCAGTCAGAACCCAGTACATCACCTGACATTGATATATGGAGTGCAGTGCTGACTTATGAACCCAGCAAATATAGATGTTGGGAACTAATTGGCTGGTAAGTGGAAAATGGATTTTTATGATAGCTATTTCTGTATTTGATCATCCTACAATTAATAAATACCTTTAACAACAAAGAGACATCTTACAATTCCCTGCTCACCATGTAGAGGCACTTTTTTGTGATTAGATTAAAATGAATCACTTATAAATACAATTCAGGCTACTGAACCATAAAACAGATGCTCCCCTATACATGTAACTATATTTCTTCTGCTTGTTATCAAACGCAAAATATTGCTTAATTATGCCAGATAACTTCCAGCTTTCTCAAAAGTTTAATTTCCATCAAAAATGCAGACTTCATAAATCGATTAACTCTGGTATGAACTGAGACCTGCATGCTTTTGCATACCAAGAGTGGGGTAGTATGTTGTAGGATCACCAGTTATCTTTCAACAATGCACTGGAGACTCTGGGATGACCACTACATTTGCCTGACTACTCAACAAAGGTCCAGTAGTTAATGTTTAGATTAAAATAACAAGATAATTATTTAGAAGTAAGATAATTGCACAGAAGCAGAGAAGAGCAGCAAGGCACTTATTTGCATAGTATTGATTTATGTTATACATAAAATACTTTTTCAGAGGCTTTTAAATTATAATGTAACATAAGAACTAGGAACAGGAGTGGGCAATTCAGCCCCTTGAGTTTAGACCTAAACTGCTCATTCGTTTTTCATTAGACAAACCCCTCAGCTCTGGAATCATTCTAGTGAACCTCCTCTGAACTGCCTCCAGTGAAACTATATCCCCCCTCAAAGGGACCAAAATTCTAAGCAATATTCAAGGTGCCATCTCACTAATGCTGTGTGCAGATGCAGCAACACTTCCCTTTTTTTTAATGCTGTAATAAAAGCCAAGATTCCACTTGCCTTCCTTATTACTCGCTGTGTTTGCATACTAATATCCTATGATTCATGCATGAGGACACCCAGATGCCTTTGCACTGAAGCACTCTCAAGTTTCTCTCTATTTCAGTAATAAGTTGCCTTTATGTTGATATTTACCTTCATAGAAACTTGAGACTGTATCTTAAACCAGGAATTAGAGCCTCTAATACTGTTTGATGGTTATACATCTTCACTTTAACGCAAAAATGGGCTCATTTGATCTCTAAATTTTTCAGTATGGTTAAGCACTTAAGCTATTGAACTCACTTGACACAGTCATTTAATGTGAAAACCGTTCATTCAGGCCATCTGATTTGCAATTTGTAAGTTTATATGTTTGCGATAGTCTATTCTTAAAGTACAGTGAAATCTTGATGAATCACAATTGGATAACTCAAAATTCTGCTGGCAAAATAGCAAATCCAACAAAAGGATGCCTGTGTTATCTCAAACTTCTGGGCTGGTAACTGGTTACTTGAACTTGTGCACAGTCCATATGACCACACCAACTACTCTGATGATTTTAGGCCACTCAGAAGTGTGAAATCACAGGCAAGCCTGCAGCAATAACACAAAATTTTCTTGATCATGTCCTGAATGAGTATACACCAAGAGACACGTCTCACACAGGTGAAATTGGACTGTTTTACAGTCCATTACTAGATCACTTTTCAATGTTTCAAAGTTGAAATGTGTAATTGTAGAAAGTGAAGCAAGGAATGTGTTTCTGCTGTGGCCTGCGTTGAAATGGATGGCTGAAAACGTTGCTGCTTTTTGTGATAGGAAAGTCTAAGAAGCCACGTTACTTTGTGAATTTCAAGACCCCACTTGTCCAGTATGAGGCAAACAAAATTGCCTGGAACACCCGCTGGCATTTTTTTTTTTTTGAGGAATGGATCAGAAAAGTGGACAAAATATATGAACGGAAGAAACAGAAGATTGCCACCTTGGACTCTTCAGGGTCATCAATGGATGCCTGTCTGCTCATTCACCTGTTTTTCTAGCTGAAGCCACAAAGGCTGTAGAGATGTCCTGGGACTTTGCACTGCTGTAAGAAGACATGTAAAAAATGCTTGACTGCATTGACAAAATGGCAGACTCATCTGAAGACGGCATGCTAAGTAGAGAAAAGATTACCATTTTTCTAGAGCTAACTCCCAGTGTTTTTCAGTGCTTCTTAACGTACCAGGTCAGGCAGTGGAAGATGTGAACAAACTGAAAGATACATAAATTTTTCACATTTACTGTGTCACTATTTTCATGTTATGACATGGTGCTTTTAAAGGCAAAAGCTACATGGGGCTTCCTCGCTGTCTTGAAGCTCCACTTAACGTACTGAATTTGAGTGAGCCCTTGCGATGTGACTTATGGTAACTTAGCTGCAGTTTTCATCTAAAGTATATACATCAAATGTATTTCAACTGATTCTAATAATTTCTGCTGACTAATTTTGTGATCCTCATGTTTAACCAGATAAAGGAATTGTTTTAAAAGAAGCAAAGTTTTTATTTTAATATACATAGTTCCCTCGGCTCCAAATACAATGCTTCAATGGGAAGTGGAGGAGCAGCTAGTTAATCTCACTCAAAGCTATTCTGTACGAGGTCATTATGGTGTAGGTGTTTTCTTCCATTACTGTAGCATTGTGTTCATTTTATCTTTACGTGAAGTTACTGAGATGAAGAGCTCTCTTAGGAATAATGGTCACTTCTTTGCTGTAAAGCTAGATGTGCAGTTATTCCATCCATTTTTATATATATGTGTGTTTAAGACCTTTAATTCAACAGCATTTAATAGTGTAAATGATTAATGGTATAGAATGTAAAAGTCAGTTTTAATTTTTATTATGTAAAACCTGCACTCCAACCTGCAAATTTATAAGAAAAAGCAAAGTGTTTACTTCATTCACTGTGAGCTGCACACTTGAATTTTAACTTTCCATTCAACAATATTTTTAGCTTATCATTAATCTCAGAAACAATTTGATTTAAGCTGATTAATTTATAGTAAAATCAGATGTCTTTCTGTTTTAGTCCTCCAGGTAAAAAAGAGGAGCCCTATCTTACTGAAGCAGGTCGAGAAGCTTTTGACAGGTTCTACCAATTACGCGAAAGTGAGCTACAGCTTATTGGTGGTACGCTGCTGCAGCCAACGCCAGCTATACTTCAGAAAGAAACTGAGTTAGTTAAAGATGTGCTGAATGTCCTCATTGGTGTAGCGTCAATGACTTTTTCTTTGAATCAGGTAGAAGATTTGTATTGTAACTGTAGTTAGGAAGTAATGAACTACATTTTCTTGTCAAAACCAATCATTTTATATTTTCTGTTTAATGAGCATTATGTTTGATATTGTACATTTGAGGCTGTTACAATGTACTGCAACACTTTTAAAACAGTTTTTATTTGGTTGGATAGTGATAAATCCAAATAAATAGAATGAGGTTCTAGTTTTTAACCTTTACGTTGAATTTCATAGTGCAGAAACAGACCATTCAATTCATCTAGTCTCTGCAGATGATCATATTTCACATAAATCTCCTGTAAACCCTTCTTCATCTCACTGTATTATCATATTCTTTCCCCATTCCTTGCTTTGACTTATTTATCGAGATTGCCCTTAAATGCATCAATCTCCTTAGCTGCAACCACTCCATAGGGCAGTAGGTTCGGCATCCTTGCCACTCTCCGAAAATGAGTTTCATTTGAAGTTCCCATTAGATATGGCTATAACTTTGCTCTCTTTTCCAAAACACACACGCACACATGCCACACACAAACACAGACACACACACCTGACTTTGTTATGAACTGTACAGATAAGGGCTTATTGATCATCCTGAATTTCTAAATCCAAATGCTACTGGATTATTCTATTTTGCAGGATTCAGAATATCTTGAAGGGGTGAAAACTCATATTTTTATGATATTTCTAATGAGTTGAAATGTAGGAAAACTTCAGACATTTGGTTGATGCTAGCACTAATGGCAGTGTACACAAAATACATATTATCTTTTCCTGTATTAAAATAATTGAATTAGTCAAAAATATTAAAAGTGCCAAGATCATCAAACAACTGGAATTATCTTGTTTTAAATGTTGGTGTTTAGTTACAAAACAGTAGTGCAGTAATATAATCAGAAATTGTGGAAAATTAATTCAACTGTATGTTTCAACCAATATATAAGTGATTTGCTTTTTATTTTCTGTCTCTTCAGTCTCTCCAGGCGTTTGTAGTTAAACAAGGCGTGTATGTCTCTGGAACATCCCCTGAGAGTATGTATAACCTCCTCTCTGAATTGGCTGAAAATGGAACATACTACACCCGGCTCAGTCACTTCTCGCTTCAGCCAATCCTTGACTCCACGTACAATAAAGGCCTTGTTTTTCAGGTTTTAGTCAATTTTACAATTGGGTTCTTTCTTGTCAGGCTCTGTAACAAATTAAAACCAAAAGAACCATGGATGCTGTAAATCAGGAACAAAAACAAAGTTGCTGGAAAAGCTCAGCAGGTCTGGCAGCATCTGTGGAGGAGAAAACAGAGTTAACGTTTCAAGTCCGGTGACCCTTCCTCAGAACTCAGGTTTTTAATTTTTACTGGTGAGCTTTTCCAGCAACTTCGTTTCAATAGCAAATTAGTTCAGTATCCATAGATTATTAGGAAATTTGATCACGATAGTATAGCACTACTTTGTTGTTGCTTTAACTCCAAGGTTAAGTTCACATCCTTACTAATCTGCTTTTTGGCAGAACATTTAGCTACCTAGTTAAAAGTAAGTTATACTCTTGATGTATGGCATTTACAAATTCTATGAATCAAAATAGCCTTTGCAGTTTTAGTAGCAAGACTCCTGTTTGCCCAATAGGGCAAGGATTAGAACACATTTTGAAATGTTTTACTGAGTTTGGTCAAAAAGTTTGCACCTATATTCCATTGTCAGATGTCAGGCTTGGGACATTACATTCAGTTGCAATGCATAGGATTTAAAGGCAAAACTGCTCATGAAATGTTAGGTCAAACAATTTACAACTGCGGAGGTATATTACCCTGATCTTGGTTTTCAGAGCACAGTGGAAGTTGAACTTTGAAATGTACCAGTGTTAATACACCAGTACAAAATGAGCATGCAAAACAAATTCAACACATTATACTTTTATTTTACTAGGCTTTTACAAGTGGATTGAGGAAGTATCTACAATATTATAGAGCATGTGTGTTATCAACACCTCCATCATTGAGCCTTCTACCTATCGTCTTTCTGTTCAGGAAACTGGGGCGCCAGCTAAGGTTAGTGTAAATTTTTTTGTACAGTGTGTACTTTAGAATATTAAAGTTTCTTATCTTGTAGGTCAGGCTCAAAACAGGAATATTTCAATTTTCATATCTGTTTATTACTTTCAAGCTATAAATGTGATTTCATTTGGATTAACACATTTAATGAACATTATTTTCAGTTAGCGTGTCGTTAATTTTTTTTTTGTCTTGCCCATCAATTCCAAATACCTAAAGCATACTGTGTTTACTGGTAACACCAGATTTAATACTAAAGATACAATTTGGTTAAACATACTTTTTAGATGATATCTTATTATGAGACCAATGCTTAATTTGTAAAGCAACCTACACCTCCGCAATCTGCCAACCTTCCAGCCATAAATATTTTAATCAGCCTGTTCAGAAGTGCTATGACACACCTCTGAAGCATTTGGAACTTGAAACAGGGCCTCTGACTCAAAAGTAGGGTAATTACCATGGTACCACATCAGCCCCAAACTTTTCACTTCCATATAGATATCTAAATGTGATCATTAATCTAATTAACTGTTTTATTTGATTTTCTAATTTCTGACTATAAAGAGTTTTCAGTTATAGTAGGAACTGCAGAGGCTGGAGAATCTGAGGTAACAAGGTGTAGAGCTGGATGAACACA